TTATTAATGGCAATATATTTCAAGGCTTTCCTTTGGGGAAGGTATGCTTAACTTTAGTTCAAAAAAAACAAAAGCAAACACAGCACAGCTAGTTTGTATATACTACTATCTTTTTTAAAAATGGATTTAAAGTATTTCCTATTTTCAAATGATTTAAACCTTTTACAAAATAAAACAGTTGGGAGTAACAAACTTTACTAATCATAAAAATTAACTTCGTAGTTTAGATAATTCATAACTATTACCTACAAAAATCTTTAAATGTATTTGATAAATTAATACAGAAATTAAAAGTATCTGTATAACATACTTGTTTAAAACTGAGTTCATTTCCATTAGAGAAAGGAAAAGATACACTGTAGCATTTGGTATAAAAGGAAGAGCACTAATTCAGCTTTTTCAAAAATGTTAGAACATGTGATTTTTCTTTAATTCTAAATATAACTCACTGTATTTAGCACCTCCTGTACTTTCCAGTATATTAGATAATTGCATACCAAGTTAAAAACAAAATAAAAGAAAACATTCCTGCCACCCACCCTTTTCATAAAAAAAGGGAAATATTAAACACACACACAGCTCTGTTACCTTCTAAAGGTCAGCATGACTAGCACCCCCAAATGCTGTTTATTCTTACTTTCAAAATTTGAGAATTTAGGAGACTTAGGGGACAAGGAGGAAAGAAGAACTGCATGATTATTAGTTCTGGCAAGAAAGATGAGTTAGTAATATTTGAATCCGGCTTTCGAGAATCACATAGGTGCCTCAGGTGGTGTGGGTCCTGACCTTCACATCAATCAGGGAAGCTCTATTTTATTATCAGTTTATACACTGAGCTTATGCTCATTTGAACAAGTGTCCATAACTTTAAAAAATCTGAAAATCACTAAGATTAACCAATAATGACAATGGATAATATAGGTATTAACACCTAATAAGCTAAAATGTAAACAGAAATGTTCAATAAGAAAAGACAGTTTTAGAAAGAGGTAAAAACACTAAGAGGCAAGACTACTATCTGTGGTTGTTTCACCTTTATGAAAAAGTTCATTCTTTCGATTTTGATCCGAGTTTTGTGGGGCTACTGTTTGTTTAGGAAAGGGACACACAAGTTAAGCTTTTTCACTTTGGTTTTGGCAGGAAAGACAGTAGATGATTTCAGCAAGGAATTGGCTGTGAACCCAAAGCAAACAGCTCCAGCAGGGAATATACAAGCAAGCTGAATGGCACCAGTATCGGTTATGGTTGTTTAGATGGATGGGAGGGGGGTCCACATAATAATACTGAGGTAGGGTACCTACACCTACTCTTCTGTGGGGATATGTGTAAGAAATTATATCCCTTCCTAAGAGCACTCCTAATTCTTTCTTTTTTTATACAATGAAGTCTGAAGCAAGACTTTTTTATTTTTTTTTGAGACACAGTCTCACCCTGTTGCCCCAGGAGAGAATGCTGTGGTGTCAGCCTAGCTCACAGCAACCACAAACTCCTGGGTTCAAGTGATCCTCTTGCATCAGTCCCCTCCCCCCAGTAGTTGGGACTATAGGCACCAGCCACAATGCCCAGCTAAAGCATTCCTTCCCCCCACTCCACCCCCAGCAGGGTCTCACTCTGTTGCCATAGGCTAGAGTGCCATGGCATTAGCCTACCTCACAGCAACCTCTAACTCCTAGGCTCAAGCGATCCTCCTGCTTAGGCCTCCCAAATAGTGGGAACTATAGGCACCCACCACAACGCCTGCCTAATTTTTCTATTTTTTAATAGAAACAGAGTCTGGCTCTTGCTCAGAACTCATCTCAGGCACTCCTCCAGCCTTAGCCTCCTAGAATGCTAGCACTCCTAATTCTTAACATCCACCTCCTTTCAGCTTGGTGCCCACAGCTCAGGGGGTAGGGCACTGGCCACATACACCGAGACTGGTGGGTTTGAATCCAGCCTGGGCCTGCCAAACAACACTGACAACTACAACCAAAAAATAGCCAGGCATTGTGGCAGGCGCCTGTAGTCCCAAGCTACTTGGGAGGCTGAGGCAAGAGAACTGCTTAAGCCCAAGAGTTTGAGGTTGCTGTGAGCTCTGAGGTCACGACACCCTACCCAGGACGACAGCTTGAGACTCGAAGGAAGGAAGGAAGGAAGGAAGGAAGGAAGGAAGGAAGGAAAGGGAAGGGAAGGAAAGGAAAGGAAAGAAAGAAAGGAAGGAAAGAAAGGAAAGAAAGGAAAGAAAGGAAGAAAGAAAGAAAAGAAAGAAAAGAAAGAAAAGAACGAAAGAACGAACGAACAAAAGAAATCTACCCCCTCTCATGCTTCCACTTGCAAACCAATTAATGCCATTAAAAAATCAGAAATTAGTGCTTAACTGCAATAGCTTACAAAAACAGTCATTTCTTTTCTTTTCTTTTTTTTTGAGACAGAGCCTCAAGCTGTCCCCCTGGGTAGAGTGCTGTGGCATCACAGCTCACAGCAACCTCTAAATCCTGGCTTCAAGTGATTGTCCTGCCTTCACCTCCCAAGTAGATGGGACTAGGCGTCCACCACAATGCCTGGCTATTTTTTGGTTGCAGCTGTCGTTGTTGTTTGGTGAGCTGAGGCTGGATTCAAACCCTCCAGCTCAGGTGTATCTGGCTGGTGCCTTAGCTGCTTGAGCCACAGGCACCAAGGCAAAAACAGTCACTTCTTAAATAAATCAGACTACTAAGAACATTAACCATTTCATAAGCTTTGTTTTCCATGATGAAACAAGTACAGAATTAAGTTTCTTTGCCGATGATTTGGAGACAGCAGAGATGGATCAACTACTCCACCATTATCTGTCAGCCCATGGTATTCATAGTTGATACTGTGACAGAAAATAAAGTATCGAAGATATCTAAGTAGAATCCTATTAATTTTTTTTGCCACATCAAAATACTCGGTTAGCCAATGAAATGATAAGTGATTTTTCTATTTGCGAAATTTTCTGTCTTATGGAATGCTGTTTCTTAATGCTTAATTATTTTACAATAGAAATGTAACTGAATTCCTCCACATTAACACTTATTAATGCCAAAAGAGTCAAGATCAGAAAAAAATTACCATTAATTAGCATTTGCATTTTTAAAACTATATGGCTACTCACTGATAAAAACAATCCTTCCTATTTAGTTTAAAAATATCAATGACAAGATGAGTAATTCTAACTACTTTAAATAAGTAACATTTAGTTTCTGATATGAGTTCCTAATATCAGTAACATTTAGTTCCTAATATCTCTGGGTACTCTTTTGAAAGTTTAAAATGAAAAATAATGCCAGTTTGTTAAACATGTGAAGCCAAATGTTGTTATACATATACTCTCTAAATTTTAGTCCCTTAATTATTTATTCTATAAATAACTTATCTCATAAGATATTAAGAGCCACTATTCTAGCTCCTTCTCTATCATAAAACCACAGTGAACAAAAAGCAATTCTGTACCTATGAAAGTATGTTAGGAAAAGAAATACTGATGGCTGCAAGAATAATACAGAGACTTAGAGAAATGATCTACATGCAAGACTGTAACACCCTTTGCTACTGTATTTTCTGGACTTAAAGACAAAGTAGAGTTTCCAGTGCTTTACTTTTCAAAATAGATAAGCTATAAGAACTATGTACAAGTTATTTATAGACATGAATTTCCTCAAAAGAGCTATATAAAACAAGTTTCTGCAAGAGTCCAAAATATGTCTTCTTCTTCTTAAATTCATAATTGAAACAGACTAACAAGATGCTCAATCCTTTTTAGCATAAGGCAAGGTACAAATACAATTTAACGTATTTTGTAACAGATTTTGAAATTCTAGACCTTCAATAAAGCATCATATTTTCATCTGACTATAACTCTTCCCTCTTAAAATATATAAATTTTGTTTATAGCACATTTTTATCATTAAAATCATTGTTGAGCACACACATAGGCAAGAGTAATCACATTTGCACTGTTTCTTTATATAACATTATATATATATTTTCTGCAGTTTTTGTCAGGGGCCAGGTTTGAACATGTCACTTCCAGCATAGGGTGCTAGTGCTCTACTCTTTGAGCCACAGGTGCCGCCCTACATGACATTATAAAATCTATCTCTTCAAGGAATTAACCACACATTGGTGTTTTTCTTTCTTTCTTTCTTTATTTTGAGACAGAGTCTCAAGCTATCGCCCTGGGTAAAATGCCATGGCACCACAGCTCACAGCAACCTCCATCTCCTGGGCTTAAGCAATTCTCTTGCCTCAGCCTCCCAAGTAGCTGGGACTTTAAGCGACCGCCACAGTGGCCAGCTGGTTTTTGGTTGTAGTTGTCATTGTTTGGCAGGCCTGGGCAGGCACCTTTGATGTATGTGGCTAGCACTTTAGCCGCTTGAGCTACAGGTACCCTTCTTCTATTTTTTAAACCAAGACAAAACTGAGTTCATCCTCAAGACATACAAAAGTTTCACTTCAGGGGTGGGGGGGTGCATAAAGTGAATATTTCTATCAGCACACATCTTTTCTAAAAACATGCCAGGTCAAAGGAGATGCAATTCACAGCATGTACCACAAGAGGGCACTCCTAGGATCTTTAAACAACTTTCAGAATCCAATTCTTCTAGGACGGAAAACCAGTCCTACACTTAAGGGCTGTGTAGTGGCTTGAAAAATTTATTTCATAAACGATAAATGTTTCTTCATAGAAAGAAAGATGATAAATAAGCATAATTCCTATATAATTTATCTTCTCTGGGCATCACGTCCTTACAACCAAAGTAAAGTTTCTAGAGCAGGCTGAACTTCAAATGACAATGTTGAAAAATTACTAGACTAAACTTATAAGATTATCTTTCTAGATTATACATTTATCATCAATAAAGGCTCACATTTTTGCAGAAAACAACAAAAGTTCAAGAATTATTTCAAATATACATATGATTTAAGAGTTGACAGAAAGATCTGCTTGAACATATATGGTGTTTCACATCAAGATAAGTAAACCACAGGCACCTTACCTGTTTCCTGTGAATTTAACACCTCTAAGGCATGCATCATGGCACTTGCGAAGACATTGGCATCCTCTTTGCTGCCAAAGTTGAGACCATACACCTGTCTAGCATCTCGCCACTGGTGGAAGGTCTGTGTAGCTTGATTGTACTTCAACCCTTTAGGAATGGCACAATTTATCACGACCTAAAAGATAACAATTCTTTTATAAAGTCAAGCTAGTAAACGAGAGAATCAAGGATCTCAACAAATCCTGACTATACATATTCACTCAAACCTGTTCCTAACAGACCCTGGTAAAACAGAACAATCATCTAGGGTAAAATCAGTCCCCGGAAATCAATTGGATGGAAGTTAAGTTGTTGGATGGTCACAAAGGTCTGTCTTAATAGAATATATCAACAAACTAAAAGAAAAGTCTACATTATTAAACATATTTTAACTTGTCTAAGTACTACAAATACAAAAATATTCATAAAAATTTACTGTGTATCTCAGTGAGAACCTTCCCATGTAGCAAATAACCTAATTAAGAAGCGAAACATTAACACCAGAATCCTCACCACCCATGAACTTCTCCTACCTCCCAAAAGGTACTAGCCGTACTTCTAACATCATGAATTACTTTTGCAGGTTGACTTTATGTAACTGGAGTTATGAGATCTATATTATATCTGTCCTCTTTCCCTTAAAATTACGTTTATGATAGCCATACATCTGTTGTATGGAATTGTAGTCTATTCACTTTCATTTCTCTATGGTATTTCTATGTATATAGATCATACTGCTTTACCCGTTCTCCCACTGATGAACATTTGGATCCTCCAGAGTTTGGGCTATTATTAAATATTAACAGTCATGTTATGAACTTTCTACTGAATGCATTTTTAGTTAACTAATATAAGCACATATTTTTGTTGGGGATATAACCAGGAGTGGAATAATCGCAGGCCACGGGTATGTTCAACTTTAGTAGAAAACTCCAAGTAGGTTTCCAAATTGCTTCTACCAATTTAGACTTCTACGGCAGTATGTAACAGCTCGCCCTACCACACATGCTGTGCAACATTACAACTGGTACTGTCGGGTCTTTATTTTAGCAATTCTACTGGGTATGAATTTGTATCATTGTGGTTTTAGTTTGCATTTCTCTGATTACTAATGAGATTTACTACTTTTTCTAATGAGATTTTTAGTATTATTTCTATATAGTTTTATTGGCTATCTAAATATCTTCTTTTGTGAACACTTGTTTCAATTAAATCTCTTGCCCATTTTCATGATTTGTCATCTTTTTTCTTCACAGATTTGTAAGAGTCCTTTATATATTCTGAACATGATCCCACTGTTAATATTATCTGTGTCACAAATATATTGTACCTTTTCTTTTCTTTCTGTCTTTTTTCTTTTTTTCTTGTAGAGACAGAGTCTCACTTTATCGCCCTCAGTAGAGTGCCATGGTGTCATAGCTCACAGCAACCTCCAGCTCCTGGGTTTAGGAGATTCTCTTGCCTCAGCGTTCTGAGTAGGTGGGACCACAGGTGCCCACCACAACACCAAGTTATTTTTTTGTTGCAGTTTGCCGGGGCCAGGTTTGAACCTGCCACCCTTGGTATATGGGGCTGGCGCCCTACCCACTGAGCCACAGGTGCTGCCCTATTGTGCCTTTTCTTGACTTGCCCTTTCACTCTTAATGGCGTGTGAAAGAAGGAAAGCTTTCTTAATCAAACCATTAAATATGATGTTTCACACAATATTGTAGATAACTTTTATCAGACCAGGGAATTGCCTTTCTATTCCTTGATAGCTAAGGGTTTTCATCATAATTGGACACTGTATTTTACCAGGTGCTTTTTACCATCTTTTCAAATGACTGTTTGGCTTTTCTCTTTTTATGTGGTAAATGACACTGATTTTCTAACATTAAACCAACTTTACATCCTTATGATGTGGTCCTCACATATTATCAATTTTTATACATCCCTAGATTTTTGCCTGCTATGGCTATGTTGAGAATTTTTACATCTACATTCATGAGTGAGATTAACCTGCAATTTCTTCTCTACTGTATTCATCCTAGATTTTATGACATCGTTATGCTGGACTCAAAATGAACTGGGAATCGATTCTCTGTAACAAATTATACAATAATAATGTGATTTATTTATGAAAAATTTGGTTGGAAAACCACTACCAGTAAAGTCCTCTGAACAAATAATTGTTTTCTTCCTTTTAATTCTTTTAACTATGGTATTAATTTTCTTTTTTGTTTTTTGAGCCAGAGCCTCAAGCTGTCCCCCTGGGTAGAGTGCCGTCGCATCACAGCTCACAGCAACCTCCAACTCCTGGGCTCAAGCGAGTCTCTTGCCTCTGCCTCCCAAGTAGCTGGGACCACAGGCGCCCGCCACAACGCCTGGCTATTTTTTGGTTGCAGTCGTCGTTGTTGTTTGGCGAGTCCGGGCTGGAGATTCGAACCCGCCACCTTAGGTGTACGTGGCTGGCGCCTTAGCCGGTTGAGCTATAGGCGCCGAGCCGGCATTAATTTTGTTAAAAGTAATTAAGATGGTCAGGCATGGTGGTTCATGCCTGTAATCCTAGCACTCTGGGAGGCCAAGGTAGGCAGATACCTTGAGCTAATGAGTTCAATACAAGCCTGAGCAAAAGTTAGACCCTGTCTCTACTAAAAAGAGAGGGGAAAAACTGAGGCAAGAGGACCCCAAGAGTTGGAGGTTGCTGTGAGTTAAACCTCACAGCACTCTACCCAGGGCAATAGCCTGAGACTCTGTCTCAAAAAAAAAAAAAGTAAAAGAAAAAGGAAAAAGACACTTCAGATTTTTTATTTTTTTTTTCTTACCAGTTTTGGCAAGTTGTATTTTCCTAGAACTTTGTACATATCACCTAAATTTTTAAAATTACTGACATAAAGTAATTCAAAATTTCTCCTTAATCACCTCATGTCTATAGCATCTGTAGTGATAACCCATCCTTCTTGATAATAATTATTTATACCTTCTCTCTTTTTTTCAAGTTGATTCTCCAAGGGACTTTAGAACCAATCTTCTTCTTAGTGTGTTGCCTCTCTGCTGCATTAATGTCAGCTCTTATCATTACCCTTCTTCTAATTTACTTGGCTTTAATTACCTATTCTTTAATTTCCTGAGATGAATGCTTGAAATGGCTGAAAAGTCATAAATACTTCTTTTCTAATATAAACATTTTAGTTTCGATTCTGGGTAGATAGCTGAGTAACAGCAACCCTCGGCAGAGGCTCCTGACCAGAGGGAGAAAAACTGGACAGAATCAGGCTCTATAAAGCTAAAGATGGAGAGCTGAGCCAAGAAAGAAGTTTAGCAAGCTGTAACTCCAAGGAAGAGCATTCAAGAAAAGAAACTACAAGTATAAAGCCTACTGACTGGAGGATAGGAGATCACTCCCTCAAGCAGGAGGCCTGTTGCAGGCTCTCTGCAAGTGAGCAGGGAACAAAAGCCCTCTCCATTTTAACCTCCCTAGAGAGAGCCGCTCAACTCCAGGTCTCTTTCTCCAGGGAGGTCCCCCTGTGAACCTGGACACCACCCCGTAAGGCATAAAACTGAACAGATATTTTTCCCCCACAAGTCCAAACTCCCAGTCTACCCTTCCCCCCTCGCATGGCGGTCTGAAGTTCTGCCCCCTGCATAGCGCAGTGCTTAGTCTTTTCCTGAGAGATCTGGGCATACATAGTGTGGACCACCAAATACGAGAATGGAATCTGTGACCACTGGGGAAGAAAGAGGGTATGGGAAGAAAGGGACACTTGGTGGGAGGAGAAGCAGTCCCCTGGTTATGACTTTGGTTGGCCAGTGGTGGTGCTGACCCTTAGTATGGACTGTGTCTGGTGGGAGGGAGTACAGAAACTCCAGCTCTGATGGTTCCTGCAAGCAGGAGAGTGGTTGTGCGGTATGGACTGCGTTCAGCGGGCAAGGCTGGTCCCCGGCCCCAGGTGGATAGCAAGCAGAGGCTTGCCAGGTGGGGACCAAGACCTGAGGGTAAGGGCATGGTCCCCTAACTCTATCAGGGATGGCCAGCAGAGGCTTGCTGGGTGTGGACTGAGACTGGTGGGCAGGGTGTGGTCCCCTAACTCCAACGGGGTTGGTGAGAAAAGGCTTTCCAGGTGTGACTGAGAACTGCAGGCGGTGGGCAGGGGCATGATGTCCAGCTCTAACTGGGCCAGCAAGCAAAGAAGCAGACACTAGTGTGGACTAGTGGTGGGTGGGGGCATGGACCCCTGGCTCCAATTTTGCTGTCCTTCTCTGTTGAGCAGGGTTTGTACTACCCAGGACAATTTGATTGGAACTCATCTGGGACTGCCCACCTGGAGACACTGAGGTTGACCTTCAAAGTTCTATAGTGGAAAATAACTAAAGGGTCGGGGTGGGGTCTCAGTCACAGCTGAGATTTAAACCTAATACTCTGGCTTCGTAGGATAGGATAGAGGTTGGCTGATATCAAAACAGAGCTAGCTTGGCTATTTCACCAAGTAGGTCCACAGTGTCTCCAGCCAAAACTTGGAAAGAGGCCTTTGTAAGGTCATAGAAGATAAGCCACATAGAGGATAAGCCTAGCACTTTGATCAGGGGCTAATTATCTCTAAATACCTGGGAACCCTAATTCAATCTCACCCTACTAGTTCTAATAACCAAACAGTGGAAATAAACATGGTGCAGAACCAAGAGAAGAACTCTGGCAACATGAATAACCAGAGTAGATCAAACCCCCCCCCCCCACACACACACACCGAGAATTGACAAAGGAGATACAACTGAAGACGCTGTGCACAGACAAATGGCAGCAATGTCAGAAACTGAATTCAGAATATGGATATCAAATAAGATAAACAGAATGGAAGAAAAGATGGGAATTGAATTCCAAAGAGTAGTTCTAAAGTTGTCTCAAGAAATTAATGAATTCAAAGCCCAAGTCACTAAAGATACGGACATAATGAGAAAAGAGATAGCAGAGCTCAAGGCAATAGAGTTGACCAAGCAGAAGAAAAGTTCTCTGAAATGAAGACAAAGCTTTTGAACATTCCCAAATGCTCAAACAGGCAGACAAATGGAGAGCAAAAATTGATCATTCCCTGAGAGAGTTATGGGATCACTCCAAATAATCAAACATTTGTCTTATAGGAATTCCTGACAAAGATGGTC